TGTTCTACGGAGACTAGAACACGTTATGTTTATGGAAATGTGTGACATCTTGTTCTAGCATACCCAGATAATCCAAATCTTATAGAGAAAAGAAGGTGCCAGCAAGGGTGTTTACTATAACCAGAACAGATGCCGAGACAAATTTATAGTTGTAATACATAAATTTTCTATCTTTGGCATTCCAGCACATGTACTATTTGATTCTAGAGCTACGCATTCATTTGTGTCTACTGATTGTGAGAAGGTTGGGTAGGATATCTAATATACAAGAGGTCAGCTATAGTGTGACTATTCCATCTGGAGATGTACAACAAATCAATCTGATTTTAAGAGCTTGTATGATCCTTATAGAAAATCGAAAACTCTATGTTGATTTAGTTGGAATGAATATGAAAGATTATGATATAATTTTGGGTATGGATTGATTATCAAAATATCAAGCTATTATAGATTGTAAAAAGAAGTCAATAACCTTTCAGCCTTTGGGAGATGAACCACTCACATACATTGAGATTAGAAAGGGTTTCAGATTCCCAATGATATCGACATTGAAAGCACAAAGGTTACTAGATATTGGGTTTATAGGATACTTGGTTAGTGTTATGGTTATTGAAGCACAACACAATTTGAATCTTAGTGATGTACCAATGACAAGAATTTTCATATGTATTTCTCGATGATCTACTTGGGATACCACCAGATCATAAGATGGAGTTTGTGATTGATTTAATTTCAGGAACACCTCCAATTTTCAAAACTCCATAAAGAATAGCCCCAACAGAAGTGAAAGAGTTAAAATTACAATTACAAGAGTTGTCGAATAAAGGTTTTATTATACCTAACTTTTCATCGTGGGGTACGCCAATATTATTTGTTCGAAAGAAGGATGGTACAATGAGATTGTATATGGACTATTGAGAGTTGAATAAAGTAACAATTAAAAATAAATGTCCATTGTCAAGGATTGATGATTTATTTGATCAACTTCAAGGTACATCTATATTCTCGAAGGTTGATTTACGATCTGGATACCATCAAGTAAAGATAAAGGGATGTTCCTAAGACGACACTTATTACGAGATATGGTTATTATGAGTTTTTTTATGATGCCATTTGGATTGACAAATACCCCGGCAGCTTTTATTGATTTGATGTGCCGGGTGTTTAAGGATTTTCTCGAGAAATTTGTCATTATATTTATTGATGATATCATTATTTATTCTTACACTAGACAAGAATGTGTTGAACACATGAGGATTACTTTAGGTCTTAAAGGAGAAGCAGTTATGCCAAATTTAAGAAATGTGAATTTTGGTTAGGTAGAATCGTATTTTTGGAATATGTAATATCAGGTAAGGGTATATCAGTTGATCCAAGTAAAGTTTGGAGTCTTACGGGTTTAGTTGAGTATTATCGTAGATTTGTGTAGGGATTCTCAAAAATAGTTACTTCTTTGATTAAATTAACCAGAAAGAGTATTAAGTTTGAGTGAACAGATGCTTGTGAGCAAATTTTTCAGGAATTAAAGAAAAAAACTGACTTCGGCTCCTATCATTTTGATTCCATCTTGTACTAGATGCTTTGTGGTTTATAGTAACGCTTCTAAGAATGATCTGGGATGTGAATTAATGTAAAATGGTAAAATTATTGCATATGCATCTAGACAACTTAAAGAATGCGAAAAGAATTATCCTACGCGACTTGGAGCTCGCCGCAGTTGTGTTTGCACTTAAATTATGGAGGCATTATCTGTATGAGGAGCGGTGTAAGATTTATACCGATCACAAAAGTTTAAAATATTTATTCATACAGAAGGAATTGAAAATGAGACAATGGAGGTGACTAGAGTTGGTAAAAGATTACGATTGTGTTATCAATTATCACTCTTATAAGGCTAACGTTGTATCTGATGTGTTGAGTAAAAAATCGATATCTAGTGTTACATCTATGATTGTGACTGAAAATAAAAATTGGTAGACTTACAAAAAATGGCTATTGAAATTGTATCACAAGGTTTTGTGGAGGCTAAGCTTGCAGTATTGACACTTCAGCCAACTTTATTGAATAGAATTCAACAGGGGCAACAGGAAGATGATTATTGCTCTAAGGTAAAGAATTGTATATATTCTGGGAAAGTTTCAGACTTTCAGATATTGGAAAATGGTATCATGCTGTTTAGATGGCAGTCATATGTACCTAATATAGAAAATATCTGAGGTAATATTCTATTTGAAGCACACGCAACACCATATTTTATTCATCTAGGAGCTACTAAAATGTATAGAGATCTGAAGTTGCGTTATTGGAACATGAAAGATGAGATAGCCGAATATATAGGACTATATTTAATATGTCAATAGAAAAAAGTTGAACATCAAAGGCCAGCAAGAACCTTACAACCATTACCTATCACAAAGTGGAAATGAGAAAGAATCAAAATGTATTTGTGATAAAATTACCAAAAACAACTAAATGATAAGATAGTATTTGGGTTATTGTGGATATGTTGACTAATCAGCTCATTTTTTAGAATTTTGGTACACTTCGCACATTTGATAAATTTTTGAAATATTTTTATACATTTTGACACATTAGGATACATTTTGGTATATTTTGTGTATCTTGGTCCATTTTTGCAAGTTTTGATACATTTCACACATTTTGATATATTTGTCTTCGTTTTGGTATATTTGGGAGCGTTTTGATACTTTTGGCGAATTTTCACATTTTATAGCATTTTGGCACATTTCGCATATTATGATACATTTTGACACGTTTTTGTACATTTGTGACTTTTTGTACAATTTGGCATGTTATGATGCATTTTGACTTAGGGGGTGTTTGCTTTTTGTTTGAGAATTGATTCTCAAATCACTTCTCATTTTCAACCACACATTTTTCAATAAAATAATATTTTTCATCACATCAATAATTTTTTTTCTTTTTTAACCACACATTTCCCATCATATCACTATTCAAAAATAAATTATTTCCTAAAAATTCCTACCAAACAAGCTGTTAATAAATTTAGTTTGTCTCCTTAATAATATCATAGTGAAAACTACCAGTAATCTTTTTATGTGGC